GGGGGGATGGGGGTCGGGGTCAGGAGCTGGGCCCTACCCTGCCAGACAGCCCCTGACCCTGCCCAGGCTCAAGTCGGGTCAGAGCACCCCACCCCATCCAAGATCCCCCAGATTCTGCAGAGCTCCTGCCACTGTGGCTCCAGCTGAGCACAGAGGTTCCTCCTCAGGCTCACAAGTTATTTTCAGGGACCCCATATTCCCCGTGTGACCCCAAAGTCTCCCCAGCAACCATGGTCCCATGGAGGGACCCCATCGGGTTCAGGGGCTCCTGACACACAAGGAGCAGTTATGCGGCCCTAGACTGCCCCTCTGGCCTGGAGCCTCCCCTCCCAGGCCTGGCTCCCCTAGGCCTCCCTCTGGCCGACTTGGCCCTCTGCGGTACTGGACTCCATTCCTGCCCGTGACCCTCCCGGGCTGACCGCCACTCCCTGTCCCCGGCCCCAGCCCCCTCTTACCTGTGCTTCCCCCAGCCCAAGCTCGATGGCCTCCAACGCGTGGCTCACCACCTGCTGTTTTTCTTCCAGCAGCTCCAGTCCAGTAACCTGGCCCTGCCCTGCCAGGGCCTCCGCCAGGTGGCCGGCCAGGCGCCAGGTGCCCGGCCAGGCCGTGGTGCTCTGCCCGCAAGGCCTCCAGCCCCTGCACCACCTGCCGGGTCTGCCGCACCAGCTCCTCGGGGCTCAGGCGCTCAGGGCCCAGCCCCACGCTTCCCGGGGCTGCCACCTGCACAGACATCGCTGCTCCTGGGGGGAAGGCAGGGATTGGGGAGCCACTGCCAGGAACAGGCAAGCCAGTCCCTCACCGCCACACCCATCCTGGCCAGCAGCTGTCCCCCTCCTGGTTCCAGTTACCCTCGCCAGCCCCTTCCGTCCCACCCGCCCAGCCCTGGTCTCTAAACCCATCCTGGCCGGCAGACCCCTCCCTAGCTCAGCTAGTCCCTCCTCTGCCCCACCTGCCCAGCCCTGCTCTCTAAACCCGTCCTGGCCAGCCCCCTGTCTCCACACCCATCCAGCCAGTCCCTGTCTGGGAACATTCTGGTCTACCTTTGTCTGTGCTCTGAAAGCAGGGCCCTGCCCTGAGGACGGCCCCAAAAGCCTACTGTGTGTAACTAACCAGGAGAGGGCCAACAGCTGGCGTGGGGTCCCCCTACCTGTCTCAGTGCCCGGGCTAGTCCCCTGCGCCCCGAGGACCTGGACACCGCTGGCCCAGAGCTCCCGGGCTTTGGGGTCTGCCGTGTGACCTGGGACGGAGGCTCCCTCCTCTGCTGGGCGTATGGGGCGGGGCATGTGGAGG